TGCCAGTATGAGGGGGGGCGGGTGTTGAGGGCCAGTATGAGGGGGGGGGGGGTGTTGAGGGCCAGTATGAGGGGGGGGTGTTGAGGGCCAGTATGAGGGGGGGGGGTGTTGAGGGCCAGTATGAGGGGGTGGGTGTTGAGGGCCAGTATGAGGGGGGGTGTTGAGGGCCAGTATGAGGGGGGGGCGGGTGTTGAGGGCCAGTATGAGGGGGGTGTTGAGGGCCAGTATGAGGGGGGGGGTGTTGAGGGCCAGTATGAGGGGGGGTGTTGAGGGCCAGTATGAGGGGGGGTGTTGAGGGCCAGTATGAGGGGGGGTGTTGAGGGCCAGTATGAGGGGGGTGGGTGTTGAGGGCCAGTATGAGGGGGGGGGCGGGTGTTGAGGGCCAGTATGAGGGGGGTGTTGAGGGCCAGTATGAGGGGGGGGTGTTGAGGGCCAGTATGAGGGGGGGTGTTGAGGGCCAGTATGAGGGGGGGCGGGTGTTGAGGGCCAGTATGAGGGGGGTGTTGAGGGCCAGTATGAGGGGGGGGTGTTGAGGGCCAGTATGAGGGGGGGTGTTGAGGGCCAGTATGAGGGGGGTGGGTGTTGAGGGCCAGTATGAGGGGGGGGCGGGTGTTGAGGGCCAGTATGAGGGGGGGTGTTGAGGGCCAGTATGAGGGGGGGTGTTGAGGGCCAGTATGAGGGGGGTGGGTGTTGAGGGCCAGTATGAGGGTGGGTGTTGAGGGCCAGTATGAGGGGGGGGCAGGTGTTGAGGGCCAGTATGAGGGGGGGGCAGGTGTTGAGGGCCAGTATGAGGGGGGGGGGCAGGTGTTGAGGGCCAGTATGAGGGGGGGGTGTTGAGGGCCAGTATGGGGGGTGTTGAGGGGGGGGGGGGGGGCAGGTGTTGAGGGCCAGTATGAGGGGGGGGTGTTGAGGGCCAGTATGAGGGGGGGGCAGGTGTTGAGGGCCAGTATGAGGGGGGGTGTTGAGGGCCAGTATGAGGGGGGGTGTTGAGGGCCAGTATGAGGGGGGGGTGTTGAGGGCCAGTATGAGGGGGGTGTTGAGGGCCAGTATGAGGGGGGGGTGTTGAGGGCCAGTATGAGGGGGGTGGGTGTTGAGGGCCAGTATGAGGGGGGGTGTTGAGGGCCAGTATGAGGGGGGGTGTTGAGGGCCAGTATGAGGGGGGGGTGTTGAGGGCCAGTATGAGGGGTGGGTGTTGAGGGCCAGTATGAGGGGGGGGTGTTGAGGGCCAGTATGAGGGGGGGGTGTTGAGGGCCAGTATGAGGGGGGTCAGTATGAAGGTTTAGGATAGTACTGTCGTTTGGCTGTATGGCCTCCCAAGCTGCCGTATTACATTAATGGCCATGAAGGTTAACATAAGTATGGTGTAAATGTGAGCGGTGTGGCCACGCTGGCTTCTCTGGCGGGCTCCGTCGCCTGTCTCCGCCCCGCTTCTTGTACGGGTATTTGCTGCACTTACAAGAAAGAGGCGCAGAGTGCGTGTGGTGGCTGAGTGTAAAGATGCCCACACACCTCTATGTACTCCCCAAGCTTCAGAGACGTCAAGGCGCGGGTCTTGGCGCTTGTGGCTCTTGGTGTCCGCCTGGTATAAGTGCTCTATATTTCTTGGCACTTGCCAAATTTGAATTGTCCATAAACCTACATGTATGGGCGCAAGATTTCATTATTCGATAAATTATCTCAAGTAGTTAAATATATGCTTATTTACCCCAGTTTTAGAAACCATTATTTGTTCAGCCTTATGAGCCTGTTTAAAGATCCCCACATCCCAGAGACCCCATCCCCCCCACATCCCAGAGACCCCATCCCCCACACATCCCAGAGACCCCATCCCCCACACATCCCAGAGACCCCATCCCCCACACATCCCAGAGACCCCATCCCCCACACATCCCAAGACACCCCCCCCCCACATCCCAGAGACCCCATCCCCCACACATTCCAGAGACCCCATCCCCTACACATCCCAAGACACCCCCCCCACATCCCAGAGACCCCCCCCACATCCCAAAGACCCCCCCCCCCACATCCCACATCATCCAAAAGCCAATGGTTCGATTCTGCAGGTAAAAATAGTAAACACACTATTTGGCCTAGTCGACTAAGGCAGCGTATGGGATCATCCCGGGCGTAAGTTCGAACCTTCATCACGGCCCTTGTGGGTTTCCACATACAAATAGTAAACTCCCGCGCGCACGCGTACGTGAATGTGTGTGTGTGTACGTAGGGTAATAGTGAGTGTGTGCATCACCAAGTATTACCGGACCAACACCAGGGGTCGCCTCATTCATCTCAACAAAGCCACATTCATCCCTAGCGGGAATAACAATCACTGACAGTTGATGGGAGGGGGAGGGGGGGCAGAGTTGGGGGGTGAGGGATGATGAGTGGAGGGTCTGTGTGCGTCAGTAAACTCCCTACTCACCCCTGGCCTCTGCCTCCACACCCAAGTTACCCGTGCTCAAAGAGCCTCCTCCGCTCCCTCGGCTCTTTCCTTCATATTAAATGTTCCTTCTCTGAATGTAAATGACTCAGTATGGAGGAGGAGGAGGTCGAGACGGGCGAGGGACAGTATAGTGTGAGTGGGTAGAGATTATACTGACCCTAAATGGTGTTGACCTTGTCAGCCAGGTACGTGTTATACTACCTGATGCTACCTAATAACCTGGCTTGGCTTGACCTTTGTACTAACTACTACTCCCGAAGACAGTTATCACTGGTGTTAAATATATTATACTAAATATAGCATTATATCTTTAGACTTATAAAATTTAACCATTTAGAGATAAATCTAAACTCCCGCTGTAGGAAATGGCAAACCGTAAATTTTGCCCCGAGGGGCGCGTGTATTGGGCAGCGCCACTCATCCTGTGAGTGGACACACCGCCATAGTGACAGTATTGGGCAGCGCCACTCATCCTGTGAGTGGACACACCGCCATAGTGACAGTATTGGGCAGCGTCACTCATCTTGTGAGTGGACACACCGCCATAGCAGCATGTACAACACTCCCCAATAGGAAGAAACCCCGCTGGGTTGTTCATCCTGTCACTTGTACCCAGACACAGCTGGGACTTGCTTAACTGTCTCAAGTGAACAGCTCCTCAAACAAGAAGATTAACATCTGTCAACCCTTAAAATCTTACGTTATCTTGGGGGGTTGCAAAATGGGGTAATCTTTTAAGAACAGTATCAAGATTTGACAAATAGTGTTTTCCTAACTCAAACAATGTGGGGTTTATTATTCTACACATATTTCTAATGTCCCTCAGGTGTTCACATTCACGTAGATAGTGGTCAAGGCGGTGTCCGTCACTCTCATCACAGATTCTGCAACTTCGCTGATCAACTTTTGTTTCAATTCCGAATCTCCATGGATATTTGTATCCAAGACGGATTCTCGCTATTACTGATTCTCTCCCGCGACCACCTCCTCTTCGTCCATAATGATTGGGATTGCCAGCTGTAGCCATGTTGTACCATCGTACAGATTCACTGGTTTGTACTTGTATCCTCCTTTCCTCAGTTACCTTGTCACGGTGATGTTGCCTGACAATACCTCTAATTTGTAGAAGAGTCTTGGGTATGAAGTATTCAATATGGTCTCCTTCAGCAACCAGCACATTTGCTCGTCTTATTACTATGAATAAAATGTCTGAAATCCTTGCACTGTATCCATATTTCGCTACCAGTAGATAAACGACATATGAGATTAAAAGAAGCGATTAATGTATTGTGAAGACTAATAATAACAAACAGCAGCTCCCCTGTGACCCTGTAATATATCCATAACTCTAGACGAAATGTATTAGCAAAAACACCTACCTTTAATGTATAATGATTAACTGTAAAGTCATAGCTATTGAAATGGAACAATCTCTGTAACTAGCTGACCGTATAATTATAAGGTGCGCAGGACAGATGTAATGGTTAATGTAATAATTTCCGTTGAGGTCTGATAACAACCTTTCGTGACCTGTAATCCTTTCTTGCGCTACCGCTCACAGGATGAGTATGGGGTGCACAATAAAGTAGCGCCCTCCGGCGGCAACAATCAGTCTCCAGGGAACGACCCAAGTTACGGCTGAAGTCAAGATTTTGTTAAATGATCTTTATGTTATTAATCTTGGCGTTATATATGACTTACTACGGAGGATAGGACTGTTTGGAGGGAGAACCCCAGATGTGAGTGGATGGTATAGGACACGATTGCCGCTCTGCATGTGTTGGGTCAGGGTACACAATGGTCCGCACTGTATCCATATTTCGCTACCAGTAGATAAACGACATATGAGATTAAAAGAAGCGATTAATGTATTGTGAAGACTAATAATAACAAACAGCAGCTCCCCTGTGACCCTGTAATATATCCATAACTCTAGACGAAATGTATTAGCAAAAACACCTACCTTTAATGTATAATGATTAACTGTAAAGTCATAGCTATTGAAATGGAACAATCTCTGTAACTAGCTGACCGTATAATTATAAGGTGCGCAGGACAGATGTAATGGTTAATGTAATAATTTCCGTTGAGGTCTGATAACAACCTTTCGTGACCTGTAATCCTTTCTTGCGCTACCGCTCACAGGATGAGTATGGGGTGCACAATAAAGTAGCGCCCTCCGGCGGCAACAATCAGTCTCCAGGGAACGACCCAAGTTACGGCTGAAGTCAAGATTTTGTTAAATGATCTTTATGTTATTAATCTTGGCGTTATATATGACTTACTACGGAGGATAGGACTGTTTGGAGGGAGAACCCCAGATGTGAGTGGATGGTATAGGACACGATTGCCGCTCTGCATGTGTTGGGTCAGGGTACACAATGGTCCGAGTCTTATCCGTTTTATATTGGGTGTAGAAAAGGTGAGGGGAAGGGCGCCGCTGTACAGCTCCTTAACACTGGATGATGATGGATTTGATCACACTGTGTGCGTGTGCCTGCGTGCGTGCGTGTGTGCGTGCGTGCAGTCCTCTTTAATATTTTCCTCCTCTTTGTAGGTCGGGCCAGGAAGGAGTGGCAGCGAGAAACGTGGTGTACAAGTAGTCACCGCCAGCCTTCTCGTCTGAAGTACACAGTGCTATAGTCACCCCTAGTCATCTTCCCTCCCTCCCTCCCTCCCTGCCTGCCAGCCACACCTTACCCTCCCAGCTTCACATCCGTAAGGAACATATAGAGAACCACGCGGGTAATCTTGCTCTATACACTACTTCTCACCGGAGCAAACACGTCATAGAGTAACAAGTCTTGCAGTGAAGAAGAGTAGCGGGTTTCCTCCGTAGTAAACACACCAGTCCTGGCCAGTAAACACACCAGTCCTGGCCAGTAAACACACCAGTCCTGGCCAGTAAACACACCAGTCTTGGCCAGTAAACACACCAGTCCTGGCCAATAAACACACCAGTCTTGGCCAGTAAACACACCAGCCCTGGCCAATAAACACACCAGCCCTGGCCAATAAACACACCAGTCCTGGCCAGTAAACACACCAGCCCTGGCCAATAAACACACCAGCCCTGGCCAATAAACACACCAGTCCTGGCCAGTAAACACACCAGCCCTGGCCAGTAAACACACCAGTCCTGGCCAATAAACACACCAGACTTGGCCAATAAACACACCAGTCCTGGCCAATAAACACACCAGCCCTGGCCAATAAACACACCAGTCCTGGCCAGTAAACACACCAGTCCTGGCCAATAAACACACCAGTCCTGGCCAATAAACACACCAGTCCTGGCCAATAAACACACCAGTCCTGGCCAATAAACACACCAGCCCTGGCCAATAAACACACCAGCCCTGGCCAATAAACACACCAGTCCTGGCCAGTAAACACACCAGCCCTGGCCAATAAACACACCAGTCCTGGCCAGTAAACACACCAGCCCTGGCCAGTAAACACACCAGTCCTGGCCAATAAACACACCAGCCCTGGCCAATAAACACACCAGTCCTGGCCAATAAACACACCAGCCCTGGCCAATAAACACACCAGTCCTGGCCAGTAAACACACCAGTCCTGGCCAATAAACACACCAGTCCTGGCCAATAAACACACCAGTCCTGGCCAATAAACACACCAGTCCTGGCCAATAAACACACCAGTCCTGGCCAGTAAACACACCAGTCCTGGCCAATAAACACACCAGTCCTGGCCAGTAAACACACCAGTCCTCCCCCGCCCCAAACGGCAGTAGTAATGACCAAGCTGCTCGATAAAGACGAGGTTGCTCACCTTTGACTGCCACAGCATGTGGCTTTTCCCTGGAGCGCTATGTTTTATCTTTAGATCATGTGTTGATCCTTTGGTACACGGGTGACGCACCGATAAGCCGGGATCTTGGTGCACGTTACGTCAGTAGTGCTGCTCGCCGCGCCCACCAGACTAACCACCGGGCTACCTCTGCCTCTACCACGGCTCGGCTCCCACACCCATAATTTTGTACTCTTATAATGAATAACGAGCAGGAAAAGAGCCAACGTTTCCGCCAACTATAAGATTCTTAAACAAGACGGATAAATATCGTATTCGAAAATCTTGAAGGTAATTGTGGGCGTGTTGACTCTGGAAAGTTACGGCGTGACCTCTGACCCCTGTGTAGTCTGGTTATTTTCCCTTCAAGAGCCATAATCTTAAAGTGTGGTGGCAGCCTTTCCCTGTTGAGTGTAGCGCGCTCCGTGTAGCCTACCTGGCCGGTGTCCGCCGGGGCGAGCCGGCACTAAACATGTCCAGATGAGGGCACTTAGTGCGTACTGTGTATTGTGGCATCGGTAAAACACCAACATGGAGAGTTGACATTGTCTTCTCTCCATCCCCTCCCCCCTGGCCCCAACCCCGCTAACGCGCCAGCACCTTACCAGTAGGTGCAGCTGCGCACCGCCCGTGCGCATAGTGGTCTGGGTGTTGTGGGTGTGTTAGTAATGGACCTTAAGATGCTGCACAAAAGCTCCACCTTCAGTTCCTTCACTTCCGGCACGGCCAAGATCGGCTCTTGGTTTAGCCACATTGGCGACCGTCGGCGAAAGACCTCTGCTAATTCCGTCCTCAAGACCTCCAAATCCCTCCAGTTAGGTGAGTCTTCCCTGGCCTGTGGGTCCTTCTACGTAGGCGAGTCTTCACAGACCTCCAGGTCCCTTCAGCTAGGTGAGTTTTTCTTCTTAGATGAAATTGGTGTTCTTCCAGCAGAATGTTTGGCTTTAGTTGTCGTTGCCTGCTCTCTTCCTCTTCTTCCCACCTCCTTCCTCCTCCGCCTCTTCACCCCTCCTCATCTTCTCCTCCTCGCTACTTCATTCCTTGTGCCCCACACGGATTTCCACATAGGCTTTCGTTATTGAAGCATAATTACTTGATCACCAACCACCTTAGTCCTTAGTTGGGTGCTTAAGGTATGATGATGTGTGCGCCCAGCCTCCACACAGATGGCATGGTTGTATGACTTGCCACACTTCACAGTAACACCCGCTGGTCCATTCACCTCATTTATACCTGGCTGCGTCATACCTGGCTGCGTCATACCTGGCTGGTTGCATGTGTGCATGTGTCCCAGTGTTGACGTCATTGTTCCCTGGTTGACAGGTGTTTGTACCATACTGTTGTTTGTTTCCAGCCTCGTCACTGCATGATGTTAGCAGTTTGTGCAACGATGACCAGTTGATTGTTGCATGTAAAGCTCCTCATCTGACCGAAGGATACGAGAATAACAATATTCCATCGTTGAGGAGATAATCCTTGTGGTCTTATGATGCCACACAGCCATTTTCCTCCGGTTTACTTCTCTTGAGTCAAGGTGATAATGTAAACCTTACGCAGTGTAGATGACTGTTCATACGACACCAGTTACAGTTTATATGAACCCTTGTTACGGTTTATATGAACCCTTGTTACAGTTTATATGAACCCTTGTTACGGTGGCAAAGACATCATTTATAGGTGAGTCAGTGTTGATGCATCTATGCAACATGTTATACCAGGTGCGTGCATGCGTGGCGTGCGCGCGGCCCTGGTGCACAGTAAGAGGTTGCAGTGCAACAGTCACTGCAGATCCCAGGGTAACCTGTGTAATTTACACATTAATTACTGTGATTGTTTAAGGAATGTGAGACTGGAATGTTGAGAATGTTGTGTAGTTACGATGGTGGTTTTTCTGGCTTTCTCAAGGGATGTTGTTCTGTATAGCAACATTGATGGCATTCCTGTCTTAATTTTGAAGTTTTCGATATTCATAAGAAATTGTTCGGGAATTTGCTTGACTAACGCGGTGGGAAAATGTGGAGGGGTTAATGATTGCTGGTGTGTTGGTTAGTGTGGGGAATGTAACATGCGTCACTATTAAGGTGGTCGCAGATTTGTGCATTATGCGTCGTTGTCTGCAACTGTGTTGTGTTAGTTGTGGATGAATGTAATTGGTTACTAATGCTGCAATAACGTGTCTTACTGAAGACTAATAGAGCCATCGGTAAGACGAAGGTCATGGGACCACCGTTGCTAGTAACGCTCCGTGTACCAACACTCACCAAGGTAAGACTTGTGGGTCATGGGACCACTGTCTATAGTAACGCTCCGTGTACCAACACTCACCAAGGTAAGACTTGTGGGTCATGGGACCACTGTCTATAGTAACGCTCCGTGTACCAACACTCACCAAGGTAAGACTTGTGGGTCATGGGACCACTGTCTATAGTAACGCTCCGTGTACCAACACTCACCAAGGTAAGACTTGTGGGTCATGGGACCACTGTCTATAGTAACGCTCCGTGTACCAACACTCACCAAGGTAAGACTTGTGGGTCATGGGACCACTGTCTATAGTAACGCTCCGTGTACCCACTAAGGTAAGACTTGTATCACTTCTATCCTCATGTGGCGCCTTTAAATGTTTTCTATCTTGGTGTTAAAAATTAGCTGTTTAATTGTGGCTTGTTGTGTATTCAGATATGTGTGTTTATGTGCTATATCATCTTGCTGTACATATATGACAATATGGTAAACTGTGTAGTGTTGAAGTGACGTGTGCAGGGGGGGGGGCACGTTAGCTAACACTACTTGCCTAATTATGCTTGCGGGGGTTGAGCTCTGGCTCTTTGGTCCCGCTTCTCAACTGTCAATCAACTGGTGAACAAATTCCTGAGCCTATTGGGCTCCATCATATCTACATTATAAGCTGTGTATGGAGACAGCCTCCACCACATCACTGCCTAATGCACTCCACTTGTTAACTACTCTGACACTGAAAAAGTTCTTTCTGACGTCCCTGTGGCTCATTTGGGTACTCAGTTTCCACCTGTGTCCCTGTGTTCGCGTACCTACTGTGTTGAACAGTTTATCTTTATCTACCCTGTGAATTCCTCTGAGAATTTTGTAGGTTGTGATCATGTCTCCCCTTACTCTTCTGTCTTCCAGGGTCGTAAGGTGCATTTCCCGCAGCCTTTCTTCGTAACTCATACCTCTTAGTTCTGGGACTTGAATAGTGATATACCTCTGAACCTTTTCCAGCTTCGGCTTTTGCTTGACAAGATATGGGCTCCATCTTGGCGCCGCATACTCCAGGATAGGTCTTACATATGTGGTGTACAAGATTCTGAATGATTCCTTACGCAGGTTCCTGAAGGCAGTTCTGATGTTAGCCAGCTTCGCATACGCCGCCGATGTTATTCTTTTGATGTGGGCTTCAGGAGACAGGTTTGGTGTGATATCAACTAGATCCTTCTCTTTCTGTTTCATTAAGGACTTCATCTCCCATTCTGTATCCTGTGTCTGGCCTCCTGTTTCCACTGCCTAGTTTCATTACCTTACATTTACTCGGGTTGAACTTTAGTAGCCATTTGTTGGACCATTCATTCAGTCTGTCTAGGTCATCTTGTACCTCATACTGTCTTTCTCCGTCTTAATCCTCCTCATAATTTTTACATCAGCAAACAATGAGAGGAATGATTCTATACCATCTGGAAGATCATTTACATATATAAGAAACAGTATGGGTCCAAGGACTGAACCCTGCGGGACCCACTGGTGACTTCTCGCCAATCTGAGACCTCACCCCTCACAGTGACTTGCTGTCTTCTGTTACTTGTACTCCCTTATCTAATGGAGTACCTTCCATTTCACTCATACCTGCATCTCCAGCTTTCGCACTAGTCTCTGGTGTGGCATTGTGTCAAAGGCTTGCTGGCAATCCAAAAATATGCAGTCTGTCCATCCCTATATTTCTTGTCTGATTCTTGTTGCCTGATCGTAGAACTCAATTAATCCTGTGAGGCATGACTTGCCATCCCTGAAACCATGTTGCTGTTGTGTCACAAAGTTCCTTCGCTCCAGATGTTCCACTAGCTTTTTTCGCACAATTTTCTCCATTAGCTTGCATGGTATGCAAGTTAGGGACACTGGCCAGTAGTTTAGTGCCTCCTGTCTATCCCCTTTCTTGTATATCGAGACTACGTTTGCCGCCTTCCAAATTTTTGACAGTTCACCTGTTACCAGTGATTTGTTATACACCATGGAGAGTGGCAGGCACAGTGCTTCTGCTCCTTCCTTTAGTATCCATGGTGATATTCCATCTGGGCCTATAGTCTTTGTCAGTTATCTTGAGATGATTTCGGGGCTTTTTAGTGTCCCCGCGGCCCGGTCCTCGACCAGGCCTCCACCCCCAGGAAGCAGCCTGTGCCAGCTAACACCCAGGTACCTATTTTACTGTTAGGTAACAGGGGCATAGGGTGAAAGAAACTCTGCCCATTGTTTCTCACCGGCGCCTGGGATCAAACCCAGGACCACAGGATCACAAGTCCAGCATGCTGTCCACTCGGCCGACCGGCTCCCCGGTTGTAACATCCAACTCTAGTAAAAGCTTCCTTACATCCCCACTGGTAATCTCAAATTCCTCTAGTGGTGCCTGGTTAACTATTCCTTCTCTTATCTCTGGAACTTCTCCTTGCTCTAATCTGAAGACTTCCTAGAATTTCTTATTGAGTTCCTCACACACTTCTTTGTCGTTTGTAGTGAATCTGTCTGCCCCTATCCTCAGTTTCATTACCTGTTCCTTCACAATTGTCTTTCTCCTGATGTGGCTGTGCTGCAATTTGGATTGAGTCTTGGCCTTGCTTGTTATGTCGTTTTCATATTGCCCTTCTGCCTCTCTCCTCACCCTGACGTATTCATTCCTGGATCTCTGGTATCCTCCTCTGCTCTCAAGTGTCCTGTTGTTTCTATAGTTTCTCCATGCTCTTTTACTTTGTTGCTTAGCTAGCTTACATCTCTGATTAAACCATGGGTTTCTCATCTGCATTTCATTTTTTACCTTTTGGGCTGGGATAAACTTTTCTGCTGCCTCCTTGCGTTAGATTCTCTGATTCCTGTCCCTCTCCTTGCTCTCCTTCCTCGCTGCTTCTGCCCTCAATCTCTCCTCCCTAGTCATATTCCTCTGCAGGAATACCTTTTTGAACTTCAGTACATTAAGTAGGCTGCTCTTCTTCTCTAAAATTTCTTCTTTTTTGTCCTCGCTTTTGAAAACAACTTTTATCAATCGATCTTTGTTCTTGTTGTACCGGCCAAGCCTGAAAACTTTTCTATATTCTGTTCTCTCTCCATCTGTACCCCTTCAAGGATTTCTTTGACTGGCTTTGTCCATCTCCTCTTCCCTGGAGTGGCCCCTATTTGGTCCATAATACCTACTACCATTACTGCTCTTTTCTTCTCTATCAGTCGGCTAGTGCATCTTGCTGCTTCCTGAGAAGTAGCAACTTTCATGGCAATTTTCTGTACTGCAGAGACAACTTCCGGGGTCCTTCTAAGTATGTCTGCAAATGAGGGTTGTATTGAGGATGTCCCTTGAGAATGGTCCAGGACGGACCGAAACGTCGTCGTCCCTTCAACTTCTAGTGTGTGGTCTGGTCAATATATATATATAATGTGTATTTTGTATTGTTCTATATTGACTGTTTGCATTATATTGGTGATTTATAAATTGGGTTTGTTCATTCCCTATTCCTTGGTAATTATTTTATAAGACCGCCAGGTAAATTGTAAGATTGGGGGAACTCAGATAAAACGGTTTGAAGAAATAGTGTTTGAACGTCCGGTAATGGAGAGCTGATAAGTGAGACGTGGGTGTAAGTGTAAGGGCAGCGGGTGTTTATAAGAGGTGGTAACGG